ACGTCATAAAATTCGTGGCTGTTCTATTAGAGACGGCATTGCATCATCATGGCCGCAAGTTGCTAACTTAATAAAATTAGCACTAGGAAAGCCCGCGGGAACTGTCAAATTCAAAGTTAATCGTTTCACAGACTATACCTAAAGCTTACTAGAGCCAGCACATGTTTTTGAAACACTCTGTATAAACTCAGTGATTATGTAATATTTATTTATTTAAGGTTGTGTATTCCATTAGTATTTTTAATTATTATTTATTACTGCACTGACTACACAGGAAGTATACTTTTCAAAATGTCATGTTACTTTACGAAATCTTCGGTTCCTATATTTTTAAAACATATTTTACCCCACCATCAGTCAAGTATTTTGTTTCCACATATCAATATATATTATAGAAAAACATTTTATTGTTAACCTAAACTATCATTTTAACGTATACCTACCCTACTTTCTCAACTGTAAAACATTAGTATGATGGAATCCACTGAAAGCCACCTACTGCTATGATTATTTTATATTTCATAATCGAACAGAGAAAATATCTCAGAGTTAACAAAACATACGACATCACACCTTCACGGAATCTCAGCAACGACTGAAATATTCTAGCTAAGAATAACTATCAATATTTTTTCTAATTACATAACACATTATCGTTTAATCGGGACAATAATAATATTCAAACAATAATAAAATATATATAGTTCTTCTCCGAAAAGTATTCGTTCCATGGTTGCCGAAAAATGTCGCTCCCTTATTATTAACACCTGATCCATAATAATTATTTTTTTTTATAAGAACCACTGTATTATAAATCACTAATGCGTACGCATAAAAACTATTATTTTCATTTTAATTGTAAAACAATATTTTAATGGAAATGAATTGTTATACAGGGTGAGCCTTAAATAAGTGCAAATATTTTCAGGGCTGGTAGATCTCCATAAAAGAAACATATTTTCTCTTTGCCGTTTCTGAAATAAGACCAAAATAACCAAGATATTTTACTTTAAAATTACAAAAAAAGGTTAAAATTCTGGATTTTCATTCTTGTAAATTTAATCTAACACCTATATTACCATATGAAGATATTTTTTAACTAAAAAATAAATAAATTTTAAAAAAAAAATAAAAAAAATTCAATTTTTAATTTTTTTTTCGCGAAAAAAACCTGATAGACGTGTTTCTTGGGTAGAAATATACGGATACTACCCCAAAAACTATTTGCACTTGTATATTCGTTTAAAAATAAATATTTCTAAAATTAGAACAATAATAATTATCGTTCCCCTATACTATACTCGTATAGATGGGCGGGAAAGAGAAATAGCAAAAGCGGTTCCACCGTTTCCACGGAAATTTCAAATAAAATAGTTCCAGCCTCAGGCGCTAGGTGGTAGTGCAATTAATTTTTAGGTTAAGAAGTTGCTACTAGTTATTGCCAGATGGCGTTAAATCAGAATTTTTTTGTAGTTTCCATAGTTTCCAAGGGCCATTGTCAAACTATTGTCAAATTCTCAAAAAATATTGTCGTTGTCATAGCGTCAATCATAATATTATTATGATTGACGCTATGACTATTATTTGTTATAATATGTGTTTTAATTAGACAATTCCTTTTGTTTGTGGCCCTAAAAATATAATGTAAGTCTTGTATTGTTGTCATTTAAGTACCTATTTATATTTACTCCATTTACAAAACCTTGGGGGTATTACGTTGGTCTTGTTTTATTATAATAACCGATAAAAAAACCCTTAAATATTTCATTTATAAATAAAAACTTTAAATAATAAATAATATTTACACATGTTTGGCTTTAATTTTATTTAATAATTGTATAAATTATACTGTTAAATCTTATTTTTTACATCACAACGATACTTGTTATTAGTATTGTTGAATTTGTGTAAAAATAAGATTTAATAGTCAAATTTAATTATTTTAGAGTAAAATTCAATAAATACGCTCATTTAAAAAGCCTGCGCTTTGATCCATTTAAAACAAGCCCTACTCAATAGATGGCGCCACTTCTGTAGGACCATTTTTCAGTATGGCAGAGTCCATTCTTTTCTAGCTAGGTATATTCTTTGGTATAGATTACAAAGCCGTTCATTTCCATAGTAATAGAAATATTTGAAACCCCTTTATACATTTTATCAATCAATCAAATCATTTTACCGTTACAACCTAGGTAACAAATCTAACAAACTTATTTATTTAAAATGTCAGGTAGTGAAATAGAATCCAAACTCGCCTTTGAGAATATCATCGCGAACATAGATTCCTTTGTTCAAAACTCCAGATCGTACGTATCGAAAAATTGCCGCTCCTTCCTTCTGCAAGCGAATGCATTATAATAAGGTTATCTTTATTTTCAGCTCCGTCGCTGACAAACGGCAGCCTCAAGGAAGTAGAAGAGCTCAACGCCACACCGGAGTATTTCATCAAGTGTCCGCAATGCCAGAAAGGATGTCAGAGTTTTCAGGCCCTGAAGGAGCACATGGAACTGTCGCACACCGAACTGACAGCGTCATCAGAAACGAGCATGTCGGTTGCCAGCAGCGCGGTATCGCCCTCGCCTCTAGGTGGTCCAGGTGGGCCGTATGGCTGCGCTCAATGTAGCGCATCGTTCGCCTCAAAGGAACAGTTGGAAAAGCACGAATTGCTTCATTCGCCGAACGCTCAAGTGGTAAGTTGACACACCTCCGTTTAACAGCGAGTTTATCGTTTAAAATTGATATAAATACAGCAGATCGTCAATAATTATCCTATTGCCGACATTGATGTCAATTAAAGTATGAATACTTGTTTAAAATTAACCAGCAATTTTGCAAAGAAACTAAAATCTCGGATATTTTGAATAAATCCGCACAATTTTGCACAATAACGGCTAGTTTACATTCTAACTGGATAGTATGCAGACCTCGATGCAAACTATTTACAAAATCTTGTTAAAATGGTGATTTAAAGTAGTATGTTACTTACCGGAAACAACTTCTGGTTTAGATACTTACCAGGTAATTTACAAAATCTACTTATTTTTTTTTGTTAATACGGACTATGTGGAGTTTTTTTGTAGGTGGGTTATGGAACTATCATAGATTTTATAATAATTTGTACTTGTTATTTATAAAACCAAATAAATTTTTAACAGATCTTTGTTGAATTTGAAAACTATGTAGTTATTAAACTCTCCTTATGACGATATTATTTTCTATCCGATTTTTTTTCTTTTCGGAAATACACATATTTTGAGCTACTACAGTGTCGACTAATATGATATTGATAGCTGTTGTATGATAGCTGTGTCGACTAATATGATGTTCATAATAATTGTATGATGATAGCTGTTGTTTCACATTCCCTAGAGTTTTTAGGGACCTAATAACAAAATTAAAAATAATTCAATCATGTTAGTTATCATAGTACTAGTACAGTAATTCGGTATAAGTATTTTTTTAAATTGCAAAATACTAGATAAAGTATAGTATATAGTTACCCTAAGTTGATAAAAAGCACATAAGTACGTGCACAAGCACAATCAATTTATAGAAAATGAAGACAACCTTACATTGATATTAAATTATAAAGATCATCATTTTTGTTTATTAACTAACTGTCACCCTTTTGAAAGACTAAAACCTGGAGTTATCATAGCCAAAATAATAAATATGTATATGTACAGTGGTGGCCAAAAGTATGGAAACTTTTTACTTTTTTACTCTCAGGAATATAAATGAACAGCTTATCAGCAAATAAAAGTATTCCAAAAATTACACAGCAAAAAAATCTGTTTAGCAGTTTTTGTAGGAGAACAATAGATTTCTTGTGGCCAAAAGTATGGAAACCATAAATAAATACATTAAAATTATTTAGTTTAAGCTGATAAACGATACGATTTGCTTCAGATAAATATAAACATCATGCCCAAGTCTAAATATTTCTCTACGGATTTAAAAAATCAAATAGTTGAATTATACAAGAGCGGTTATAAACAAATTCAAATAAGTAAAAATTTAAACATTTTAAAAGGCACCGTTTCGAAAATAATTCGTAAATTTAATAAAACAGGGAAGGTTTCAACAGCTTTTAAGTCAGGAAAACCAAGAAAGTTGTGCAACAGGACAATGAAAGTAATGAAGAGAATATCAATGGGAGATCCAAAAAAACATCCACAGACATTTCTCGAGAAATGGGTGAAAGGGGAATATCGGTGTCTGCACGCACGGTGAGAAGAAGGTTGGATGACATGGGACTTTTTGGAAGAGTTGCGGTGAAGAAACCACTAATACCAAAGAAATATAGGATGGCCCGCTTTAAATTTGCTCAAGATCATCTCACCTGGTCTTATCAGAAATGGAATACTGTACTGTTTAGCGACGAAAGTAAGTTTCAACTGTTTGGTAGTGACGGGAGACGTTATGTCCGAAGACCAAAAGGTACACGGTACAGCCATAAATACCAGATGCCCACAGTAAAATATGGGGGTGGGAGTATAATGGTATGGGGGTGTTGGTCCTTTTGTTAAAATTGATGGGATAATGGACCGTTTTTTGTACAAAGACATATTGGAGAATAATATGCTGCCTCATGCTGATGATGAAATGCCACTCAGATGGTTGTTCCAGCAAGACAATGATCCCAAGCACAAATCTCGGTTTGTTCAAAATTGGTTAAATGAACATAATGTTCTACTAATGGATTGGCCCTCACAGTCTCCGGATCTTAACCCCATAGAAAATTTATGGGACCATTTGGATAGCAAAATTCGAAGCCATTCTATTTCAAATAAAAATGAATTATGGGAAGTGCAAAAAACTGAATGGGCGGCCATTTCCAGTAAAGATTGTACGAGATTGATCGATTCGATGCCACGAAGATATAGAGAAGTAATTAATTCAAAGGGATATTCCACTAAATATTAGTAATTTTTATATAATCTTGAATTTTAATAAACATTCTTCTTAAGTTTCCATACTTTTGACCAAGAAAATATTCATCATTTTTTATATATTTTTTGATAGCTGTAATTTTTTATTTAAATGTATTAGGTTTTGTAGAAAATTATTTGTAGGTCACGATTATATAAGTCGTTTTATTTCATATTTTAATTTCTCAGCATAAATGACAAATTAAAAAAGTTTCCATACTTTTGGCCACCACTGTATAGTTACATATTATACAAAAAAATCATAAATAGTTCATTATTATTCACTAGTTTAAGCCTGGCGCATCCGCCACGACATACCTGTATATTTACTAACCCTGTATATTTGCAAACTAACTATCTAGTTCATAGACTAGCTGCTGGTTACCCGCTATTTTATACACAAATAGGATGATTCTTTTAATAGGATTTTAATAGGATAAGTTTTACAACTAGTCAAGTTTTTAGCCGTAATCACATTTTGTTACATATCACATTTACTAAAACAACTTATATTTGATTCTTCTCTTACTAGATTAGTACAAGAGATTGAAATTGCACGTATATTAAGTATGATTTTTTGTATATTAGTAAATAACAATTTTATTGATTAAAAAAAAGTTTTTTAATTAATTGATTCTAAATGTCATAGTTATGCTTTTGATTTTCACTCATTACCTATTCTATCCAATAAACAAAAGTGTTAGGTATGCCTAAAATAAAATAAGAGAAATTAACACTAGAGCAGCAGTTTTTGATAGGTATGCAACTGATAAGGTACGCAAATTTCTAATTGCTGTGTTCATGCTGTTTAATAAATCCTGAACAAGATTCAGGATTTAATTTATATAGTCACCCACGAACAAAGCTAATTAGTTTTGCTTAAAACGATAAGCATAATCATTTTATTCGTAATGTATCAAAATATCAGGGACTGACTCATAACAATTTTTTGTCGTTGTACAGCCAGCGCAAGAGACCCTTATCTCATTGTTTATAAAATTATCTCCGCAATTCGTATACGTTTAATAAAAATATTGAGTCACGGGCAGGTTTGTGTATGTTTCAACTCTGTAACAGTTCACAAGTTTAATTTTTAAAATTCCAGTGTAACCGCATCTAAAATATAATTTCGGGAATTATATTCATAATTTGATCATGTGGTTTGAAAGTAGAGAATCGCAGTATAAGGTATTTATCGCACTGGTAAAGAATGTTTGGAATTATTGTAAACAAATCAGAACAAGAATAAAATAAGCACATCAGAAACAAGAACAAAATATATAAGTCATAAAAATAGCAGCAAAACTGGATTAGGATATCGAATAGGAATGCATAAAGTAAACATATTATGCTATGCCGATGACGCAGTACTTATTGCAGAGTCAGAAGACGACCTCCAAAGAATGCTACAAGCTTTTAACAGACAGGCAGAAAAACTTAACATGCAAACTTCCACAAATAAGACCAAATGCATGACCATTACAAAGGAGCCTCTACGGTGCAAATTGGTAATAAAAAACAAAACTATTGATCAGATAATGTCATTCGAATACCTCGGATGCAAAATTACAAGCTCAGTCAGGATTTCTGGAAGAAGAAGTAAGGAAACAAGCCAATAAAGCTGCCGCAATATCAGGACATCTTACATATCCCATATGGAAAAATAACCATTTGAGTACAGAATGTAAGTCAAGAATATACAAAACCTGCATACGACCAGTGATGACATATGGTGCGGAAACCAGAGCTGAAACATCAGTAACAAAGAGAATCCTACGAACTACTGAAATGCAGACCTTACGAATGATAACTGGATACACATTGAGGGACAGACAGAGAAATGTAGACATAAGAGAAAAGTGCCAAACAAACGACGTTATCAGATGGATAAGGCAGAGAAGAAGAGAATGGAACCAGCATGTCAATAGAATGGGCCCCGACAGAATGGCCATAATAATTCACAACAACGTACCCCATGGCAGAAGACCTACTGGACGACCACCTAAACGTTGGCAAGACAGTTGGCAGTCAACCTCGCAGCTTAGACGAGGAGGAAACCGGAACTAAACAGGCGATACGCCTTCTAAAAGAAGAAGAAGAAGAAGATAAAAATAGCAGGTTAGTCGTGATTGACTAAGTTGTTAGTCGTGACTGACTCAAAATTTAAGTGAGGATGCAGTCAATAATCACCCACACAGGCTAATAAAACTACTTTTCAAATGTGTCAAGCTTTCGAGAATTTTATGAAAATTACTTTAAAAAATAGCGCTGAAAAATTGGTCAAGGGCGAGTCGGACTCGCGTACGAAGGGTTCCATACCATTCATTATCTATACAACATTAGAGACTATATTATTATAAACTTTTTTCCGATTTAGATGAAATTTTGAATGCGCGTATAATTAATTTAAAAAAAATGAAGAAACACATTACTAAAAATTGCATTAATCAATATTAAATATGTAAAAATTAAAAAACCATAAAAAAAAAAAGTCGCCTTGACTAGGATTCGAACCTGCCTTACTACGGCTCCAACGTCATAGCAGCGTAAAGTCCTAACGCTTTAACCACGCGGCCACCGAGGACTTGAAAGATTCTATGTAAAATTCTTACTTAAAAGATAATGTTTAGTAAAAGTACTTTTTTATTTATAAACATTTATTTAACTCAGTTTTTAGTATTTGTTCTTATAGCGGCAACATAGATACATTATCTGTAAAAATTTCAACTGTCTAGCTATAACGGTTCATAAGATAGACC